GTGAATGGCCATAGATCGAAGCTCTTTCATGAAGGAGTGCCATTTGCAGAGGAGGATGAGGTAGAGTTGACAAAACTCGTTTATGCGAGCCATAAACAACGAATCACGTCGAGCTTTCGATGTTAAACTTAGCGCTTACTGGGAGGTAACCCATGTTTTATCTTTTTCGATGCTCATTTTTTTTAGTTATTTAAACTTTATAGTCATTTTTGTTATTTTTGTTTGAATTTAGGAGTCCGCATGGCCACGTTAAATTTAGCATGCCCACGCTTCAGGTTACGTCTACGGTAGTCGTAGTGGGTTTTGAATATGTTTTTGTGAAGTCTTCTCCCTCCTTTAGTTTTTGTGTACGGTGTAGGTCCAATGGACACTTGCAGAAGGTGGACATGGCATTTTTTCCATGCAAACCTCCTTGAAAAAGACTAATTATGCCAATAACATTGCCGGCTATGATGTTAAGTAGGGGTAGTATGGACAAACCACCATTTCTCACCCATTTAAGTGAAACGCAACACTTCACCCCTCTTGCTCGCACTTCGGAGAAACGCAACACCTTAACTCCATCCACCTTCTTTTCCCTAAAACCCTAACTCGTCCCTTCTCTTTCCCTCATTCTCCATCCCGCCGCCGCCATCACTTTACACTTCCTACAAACCCCCACATTACATCCTTCCTGCTGTCACCATGTGTACCCGAGCTCAAGCTCGACAAGTCGATCGAGCGATGTGGCGTTCGAACGACGATTTCGATGAGTCCTCATCGGAACATTCGGTCGCGCCGCCAATCACTCAACCTCCCGCCGCTTCGCATTCAACCATCGGACCACCACCACCACCTTCAATTCACCTATCATCGTCCACCACACCAACCATAGATGCTAGTCACGCTTCCCATGCTTCGATTCCTCACCGGCCCGTTCGGTTGAACTACCGAGGAACATCCGCTTACAAATGGAAGAGTTCACTACTTTTTCCACCGGACCACGCCAACCGAGGTATAGTTTGATTTGTGAAAGAAAAATATACCCATGTAAGTACATTCATCGAAACTCTCTCTCTCAATTGATGGTGCTTGATGAGTTTAATGCATTGGTCAATGGTGTGGGATGGATCGGTTATGTGAGTGTCAATTGTCCTACTTTTGTTGAGTTGACTAAGGAATTTTATACCACATTTCAGTTTAATGAGGCCCAAGATTTTAATTTATTTGTTGAACATGCGGTTGCCTTTCGCTTAATGGGTCGTGAATTTTTCATGTCCATTGCCGAGTTCAATGTAGCGATGGGGTTTATTTCACGATCGGAATCTCTATCCGATAGATTTTTGCATGCCGAACATAACTTCAGCCTCAATTTCCACCCATTGACCTTGTGGAGTGAATGGTCGGTTGATGATAAACCATATCGACCCGACCACTCCAAAGGATCCTATTTGCGTCGACCTATGATGCGTATCCTCCATAGGTTCTTAGCGTATAACTTCTCAAGTCGACGAGATAGTGTCGGTACCACGACTAAAACCAATTTTTTTTCTTGTGGTGTTTAGACCGAATATCATGGTAAATTTAGGGTATTGGTTACTTCACCAATTACACTCTGTTGTCCGTAAAAATTCCAAACCTTCGATTTTAGGGTCCTACATTACACAATTGGTCGTTAATTTAGGGGTCCTCAATCTAACCGATAACAACTTGAGTATTGCATGCCCTATGGAATCCCTTGATCTTTCTTGTTTAGATAGGATGGGCCTTCTCTCTCTACGGATAGCGGCACCTATGTTTTTGCACCACCGGGACCCAACATCCCTCCATCTTCACGGCGTTCACGCGAGAGACCCCATCCGGCTCCTCTACCATGCCAGCGGGCAGTAGCCGGCGGCCCCGGCAGGAGGATACTCGAGCCAATTGCCCTAGTTAGAGGCTCCGAGCACCTGCCAGCTTCTCTCCCTCCAAATCCAGCTCCTGCCGATCCTCTCTCTCACTTGGATCACCATCTCCAGCGTATGGAACGCAACCTCATGGCTTATTTTGCCACTCGGGGCTTCAACCCCCCATTTCCCCCTACCCCGTAGTGGTGCTACGTTCGGAGAAGTTTTCTTTCCCTTTACCTTTTTCAATTTTTGTTTCATTTATTTTGTTTTTCTTTGACCTCTGGTTGCACCTCAATTTATTTTTATTTCGGTTGTGTTGTTGAGTTGTTGTTATTGAATGGAGTCCACATTGAGGACAATGTGTTGCCTAAGTGTGGGGGAGGGTTTGTCTTGTAGTTGTGTATGCTTGTTGCTGCGAATTTTTGCTCACTTATGGTTATGCTACCCTTAATTTTGTCGACATTATGTTAGTTAAACCCCTTTTGGAATCCTCAATTTTGTTGAAACTTGTCTTGAAATGGATTGGAATTATTTGAATCATTGAGTTGGATAAAAATGAGATAGGAATGGGTATAAAAATGTGGACACTCTTGCTTGACATCTTTGTGTAGAACAACCCTCCAATAATCGGTTTAAGTGAGAAATGAGTCAATTTCACACAAAACACATATATGTGAGCTTTTGAGCCTTTGAGCATTCATTTATATAAGCTCTATTTATTATTTTTTGATTGTGTGTTGTCTTTGCAAGTCGAATTCTTGTAGAACTTGCCTTGCTATACATTTTGAGACTACATATTTGGATTAAATACATTAAGATGATAAGGGCACCTAGGATTAGCCAATTTTAAACCTCTTAAAAGCCTACCCCGATTTTTACCCTTAGGAGCCAAGTTTGAGCCTTAGCCTTTTCTTGATTAAATAACCATAATATAAACCAATCAACCTCTTGATTCGATACATAACCCCTGTTTAAACCTAAGTCAAGAATTTTATTCATAACTAATTAATTGAGATTCTGATTTTGTTGAAGAAATTACAAAAATGGTTGTCGTCCCGATGCTTGTAATCCACTAGTGCATGTTTCTGCTGTAATTAGTATGCTTAAAAAAAAGAAAGAAAGAAAGAAATAATAGAGGAAACATATTGGGATTAGCAACTTAGGAAAAATAAAAAGTGAGCATGTAATGCTTGAGGAAGTCGAATTTAAAGGTTGAAATTTATGTAGGATTCTTGACTTGTTTAGACCAAATTAGCCTCCATCAAACCTCACCCACAACCCCATTTCACCCTATCATAAGACCTTTTGATTTTTGCATTTGATTCAACACTTAGTAGTGGAGATATGATAGCTTGGCAAGCTTATGGTTAGGATTCTTCTATGCATTGACTTGAGAGTGACAAATACATTCACCCTAAACACTATGAGAGTTTTTTAGAGAATTCTTGGTGAGGGTGATGAATTTGGCTACATTTCTAGTCTAAACTGATAGTTGAGGGTTCGTTATGCATGACTTTGAAAAGTATGGATTTTCTATATCAAGTGCCTTGTTTTTGTCTTGTTTTTCTTTCAACTCTTTGAGGATTTATATTCCGATGCATGAAAAGACCGGTTGATACGGAATAAGGGGTTCAAATGGTTGGTTTGATGAATCTGGATTCTTGCATGCTTGAGGGCAAGCATGAGCTAAGTGTGGGGGATTTGATAATGCTTAAATACATATGTTTAAATGGCTAAATTCCCCTACATTTTCTAGTTTGAGATGTCTAAATGATAAAACTTAAGTGCCTTTTGTATTCTATGCGCTAGGTGTGGAACTGATTGAAAAATGGTGTTAAAAGAGTTATATAAAGAGAATTTGCGATCGAGCCAATTCAGCTACTAGAAAACACAAGAAGCGTGGGCACGTTAAGTTTATTAGCATGGCCACGCTAATACGACGAGACATAGAAGCAAGAGGACTCGAAGGCGCGGGCACGTTACAACTTGACGCGGGAACGCTGAAATTTGTAGAAACAAACAACGGATCGCAGAAAGAAACAAAACTTGCATGATTTGCCGTAAAAAGACGCCGACCTACCAAAAGAAGAGAGAATATTATGTACCCTTTTTAGGAAATAGATACCTTGTATAAATAGAAACCTAGCAGACTAGGGCGAGAGAACTTTTAGGTATTATTCTCATAGGAGGCGACCTTATTTTCTCTCTCTCTAGCTATGGTGGCTGCCATGAGCGACTAGACCCTTTTCCTTGGTGAAGGTAATCGAAGTTTTTGGAAATCAAAGATTTTGAGGTGCTTAAACAGTAATGTAAATCGGTTTATTTATTTCAAGTATTGAACTTTCTTCTATGCTTATTTTCATGATTATTTAGGTTAATTTCTAATGTGTACGAGTTAGCTTATTAGTTTAGATAATCTATAGCTAGATCGAATATTGAATCCGTAATTGTTCAATCCTTTTGATTTGTATAGCAATTAGGAGTGTATGGTTTGCTACGTCGAAACTAATGACTCTTAAGAGGATTGTTCAACTAGATTAAATGCAACTACATGTGTTGAGTTATCTTGCTTTGTTGGTCTTTCTAATACATAAAGCCATTGTTTGATTAAATCTTAGATCGTATCTAGGGTTGTTAAATAATGAGGGTTGATTAGAATACATGTTTCTAGTTGGCTAATCATAAGGAAAGATTGATTTCAATATCACAACAAATATTTGAATGGAAATCCGATATTTCGTGCACCAAGGATAAATCTCAAGTTCCAAAAGTGGATGTTACCCGAACCAAGGTTTGTTTACTTGAATATTTACTTTAAACTCATTTTCTAAATTTAATTTGTTTAGTTTCAGTTATATCTCAATCAAATCAAAACCCTCCTTTTTATTTATTTTATGTTTCTTCTAGAATTGTGATGACTAATGCGATTGAATTCCTCGTGGGATCGATCCCTAGTCTCCCTTGCTACATTTATGTTATATGAGCTTAGGAGTTTAATTTGGGTGCACACGACGACATTACACCGGTTCTTTGTCCGCTCTTTATGTTGCACAAGACATTGATATCAATGAAACAAATAACATGTCCGAGCCTAGGCACATGAGGATCATTTCATAAATAAATCACATCAAAATGGATCAACTAGGAGTTTCAATCGAGGACAAGAATTTGTGTGGGCAACTTGAGGAAGCTGAAACAAATGTTGACCAAGTTTAGCTATTCATACTTTATGCTTTCTTTCCTTCAATCGGAGCAAAGACGAGTCGGGAGGATGCGAAATAGAATAAAACTTTAAATGATATGTAATAATTTATATGAGGCGAGTGATAAAACCACTCGACTTTTTTTTCTTTTTTTTGTTTTTTTGAGTTCTAAAAGGATAAAAATTCTATTCATTATCCCGCCCCGCCTCTTCGACTTCCGAGTTTTTTCTTCTCCTCTTTTTCAATCTTTGTAGCTCACATGTGAATATACTATCTTTTTCAACCTCTATTCTTCTCTTTCTTCTTCATTTTTAGGGTTTCAAATTTCCATTTTATAGAAATCTCTTTCAATCTCTTTTTCAAAAATTATTGTTAAGATCCTATTCGAATTGCTCATAGAATCCCTAACAAGGGTCTAGTGCTATGGCCATCTGTCTCATTGCTTTTGGTGCCTTTTTTTATGGCATGTACCAATTTGGAAAGAGCAACAAGGTCTGCGGGTAAAAAAGGCTCTTTTATTTCCAAATTTTTTATTTTTTGTGGTTTTGATTGGTTTTGGCATCGAGTTTTATTTTGTTTTTGAATTAGAGTTAGAAATTTGAAGGATTTGGATTTTTGTTATATTAATTGGATTGGATTATTAGATTGAAGATCGTTAGGAATATTTGGCACTTTAAAATCATCAAAATTAGCAATTCTATTTGTGATTATTTTTGGCATTGGGATTTGTTTGGATTAAGAAATTAACACTTAAATGTGGCTAATTATTGCGGTTTGTCAGATATTAGCATTATGAGATGGAAATCTTATTTGGGGTTTCCTATTTTGATTGTGTTGTTGATGGGTCACAACTCGGTTTTTGTTGTTTATAAAGATGGTAGGTAGAAAATTGTGAAGCCTTATGAGTGGACATTGTTTCTTTCTAGCTAAAATTTGTTTATTTCGTAAATTGACATTAGAAATGTTGAGGTACAAAGCAACGGCCAAGTTCATTGACTGCACTTTGTATTTGAGTTTTGTAACCCTTAACAAGCAAAATAATGTGCTAATCGTGAGCAGTTTTTCAAATGTTCTTTATTATAGCATTATGTATTCATACTACTGATGCTGATTGTTTTCTGCATTATGTTCATTTTTAGGATACTAATCATGTTGGCTATGTTCGTCAAGCTTTTGAAGGCGCATCTCAAACTATTTTTACTAACATTCTAGAAAATGGCTTGTTGAAGAAATGTATGAGATATGATGAAGACAAAGCATGCATTTCTTCTTGACAGCTTCTGTCTTATATGCTTTATGATTTATTACTGTAACAAATATAGATTATAAAGTGAAACGTCTCTCAACAACATATGTATTTCCTTTATATTTAAGAACTACCAAGGAAAGAAATGGCAAAGATATGGAACTACTTTTGTGCTCACTATGGTGCATGTCCTGCATCGGCTGGTTATATTTACATTGAAGGATTAATAAAGAGATGGAGTGGTTGAATTGTTGACGGACCCAGGATGGTCGCCAGGCCTGTTTCTTCTGAAATGCAGCTCTGGAATCAGAATAGCTTAGCAATGGGTTAATTCGCCTTTGTGCAAAGGGCTAAGACATGTGTGGAGCCAATAACTCTATTGCCGAAGTATCTTTCGAAAATACACAGTGATTCACTCAGTCCACAGTCGTGTGGACCAACAGAACAGGGCTTACGACTCATGGTGCATTCATTTTTTCCTTCATAAAAATTGTGGCAACTTTTTCTTTTTCCATATTATATAAACATCCAATTAATAAATAAATATATACGTGTGTGATTTATCACAAAAGGAAGGAAATAAATGATGGTATGTGTCACCACGTTAATTTTATTAGATAACAAGATGAGGTAATGAAATTAGATAGAGGGTTGGAACAAATATATTTTACACCGTAACTGAACAGAAAATTTAAAATTATCAGAACTATATAGTATAAAATTATAGAATGATTTTTACCCTTATTTATATTATAATCTCTATTACTATAAAGAGAAAATAATTATGGCTCAACTGTCTAGTGTTAAAAATTTTAAATAATATAATAATATGAATATTCTGGTATCTTGCCGGGTGTCACATTATCTTTTTCTAAAACCCTCCACGACATAAGTATGATTTTCAATATATATATATATATACATAAGCATGATTTTCAATATATATATATATATATATAGTAATGTTACTATCTAAGCAATATGAATGATCGTGCCATGTCGTTTGAAGGAAACCATATGGTTAACAAATGATCTCAACTTCAAAGTTGGGCTTTATTAACGATCCTTGGCACAACCTGGGGTTAATATAGCGAGTTGATATTGACGAGCCTTTTGTGGGATCTTTCTCCCGAGAGGCTACTAAATCAACTCATAAACTAAGAAATCGGTTTGAAATCATTTACGAGCTTTTGTTAAAAAAAAAAGAAACAAAAATTGTTAGTTGCGGACAAAGAAAGAAACGGACAAAGAGATGAAAAGGAAAGAAATATATATTATGTTGTTGCCTTCTTATCTTAAGAATTACGATATATATACACTCTAATGCTTATCGATCGACTTGATCTATGTGACCAGTATATTCATGACAGCCCATTCTCTTTTATCCATGGTACAATATATTGACAGCCCATTCATATTGCTATAATTATGCTAACACCCCCTCAAACTCAAGGTGGTTTTGCATTTACCAACTTGAGTTTGGATACTAATTCTCGAAGACGACCTAGAAGATTAGTCTTGGTGAGGATATCCGCAGTTTGAGTAGAAGAGGATACAAAGAGTAAACGAAGAGTACCATTAGTAACATGATGATGAACAAAATGACAATCGATCTCAATGTGTTTGGTGCGCTCATAGAATACATCATTATGAGCAATTTGAATAGCACTACGATTGTCACAATGGATGGTGGTGGCGAAGAGTGAGTAAGACCCATATCTTCGAGTAAACGACGAAGCCGAGTAGTTCGATGTTTCATCCGCAAGAGAACGATATTCGACTCCGTGCTAGAACGAGTCGTAACAAATTGCTTTTTGCTGCCCCAAGAAATAAGAGAATCACCCAAAAAGAAACGATGAATCGGTGGTGGAACGTCGATCAATAGGATCACTAGCCTAATCAACATTAGAAAATCCAAATAAAACCAAAGAAAAAGTAGTAAAAAAATGCAAGCCATGAAAAATAGTTCCTTTAACATAACGAAAAATCCAAAGAACGACGAGAAAAGTGAGATGATCTAGGAGCAATCATAAACCGACTAACTAAATGCACGAGCATAAGCAATGTCGAGTCGAGTCACGGTGAGATAGACAAGACTCCCAATAAGTCGGCGATAAAGAGTAGGGTCATCAAGGGAAATGCCATCCATAGGAGTAAGTTTGATATTTGGTTCTAATGGAGTGGAAGCGGTTTGCTATCGGTAATGCCGAGCACGAGAAAGTAAATCAAAAGCATACTTGGCCCGAGATAGATAGTAACCATCGGATTTAGAAGGCACCTCAAGACCCAAAAAATAACTAAGAGAACCAAGATCCTTCATCTTAAAGTGTTGACAAAGATACTCGTTGTAACTCGGAAATACAAGCTATATCATCACCAGTTATGATCATATCATCAACATAGAGGAGTAGAATAACAATACCATGATTTGTATGTTGAGTAAATAAGGCAAAATCATGTGAACTAGAAAGAAATCCAAATTGAGCAATAGTGGAACCGAATTTGGCATACCAAGCACGTGGTGCTTGTTTTAACCCATATAAGGCTCGTTGGAGTTTACAAACTTGCTTTGGAGTATGAGAATAACTTGATGGAGGATGCATATAAACTTCTTCTTGTAAATCACCATTTAGGAAGGCATTTTTGACATCCATCCGAATAAGTTTTCAATGCTTGATAACCGCAATGGACAACAAATTACGAACATAAGTTATTTGTGCAATAGGAGCAAAAGTTCCTTCATAGTCAATACCATATTCTTGAGTGTAACCTTTTGCTACCAATCGAGATTTGTAACGCTCAACTATTCCATCCGAGCGAGTTTTGATTTTGTAAATCCATTTACTCCCAATAGGAACCTTACCGGGAGGAAGATCAACTAGGTCCCATGTATGAGTTTTCTCTAAGGCCCGAAGTTCTTCATTCATAGCTTGTTGCTAGAGAGGTTCGATCGGCCTCACAATATGAGCGAGGCTCATGTAAGGTTACAATAGCGAGAAAAAAATGATAATCTTAGAGATGAAGAGGAGTGTCTCTTACCCGAGTGGAACGACAAAGGGAAACGAAGGCACATGAGCAACATCGGGAACTAACTCTTGAGAGGCGAAGCGGGGGCGGGAGCTATGTGAGCTATATGAGTGAGGTCATCAAAAGAAGCTATGTTAGGTGTAGAAGAGGGTATATTAGTAACATCGGGATTGACTTTAAGAGAAACAGGAGCGGGGACGGGAGGAGTATGAGTGAGATCTTCGGAATGAGCTATATCGGGATTAGAAAATAACTCAACGAAATGTCAATAAAAAATGGAGTAGGAGTGATGAAAGAAGAATGAAATTTTGATAAGGAAGAAAACATGGTATTTTCCCAAAAGGTGACATGACGAGAGATACGCAACCTATTGGAAATAGGATCCCAACAATGATAACCTTTATGTTCTATCCCATAACCTAAGAAACAATAAAGACAAGCACGAGGTTCTAATTTTGTATGTTCATGAGGTCAGTAAGAGAACAAAAGAAACACAACCAAAAGGTTTGAGGATAGAATAATCGGGAGGCTTACCAAATAATTGTTCAAAAGGAGACATATTTTTAAGAACTTGAGTAGGAGTGCGATTAATAGCATAGACAACGATTAGAGTCGCTTCTTCCTAAAACTTTTCGGGATAAGAGGCGAAAGAAGAAGGGCATGAACATAATCAAGAATATGGCGATGCTTACGTTCAGCTCGACCATTTTGTTGGGAGGTGTGAGGACAAGAACGTTGAACCAAAGTACCTTGTTGAGAAAGAAATTGAAGAAGGGAAGAGCCCCGATATTCCATAGCATTATTAGTGCGAAGTATTTTAATAGTATGAGAGAATTGAGTTTTGATCATAGGAGCAAAGTTAATATAGAGTTTTGGTAACTCGGATCGTTGTTTTAGAAAATAAATCCAAGTAAAACGAGAATAATCTTCAATAAATATAACAAAATATCAATAACCATTCACAGATGGGGTAGGAGAAGGTCCCCAAATATCGAGTGAACTATTTGAAAAGGAACATCGAAATGGAGGTACTATTATTAAAAGACAAAGCAAGTTGTTTAGCTAGTTGACAATGAACGGACCTTAAGACGGATGGTTGCACCAAATTTGAACCAGCAGCCCCTTTGCATTGCTTATCCCGAAATTGAGGTGGCTTTTGAGTTGAAATGCTGGACTCGATTCATCTACTACCTTCTTTCCATGGACTTGCAGGTGAAGATCCTCATAAACACCTTAAGGAATTCCATGTAGTTTGTTCGAGTATGGGGCCACAAGGAGTAACCGAGGAACAAATCAAACTTCGTGCTTTTCCATTTTCCTTAACCGAAAAAGCCAAAGATTGGTTGTATTATTTGCTATCCGGTTCAATTACTACTTGGAATGAGATGAAGAGGCAATTTTTAGAGAAGTACTTTCCAGGCATCCCGAGCTACTACCATCCGCGAGGAAATTTGTGGTATCCGTCAATACAATGGAGAGACCCTTTATGAATATTGGGAGAGATTCAAACAACTTTGTGCTAGTTGCCCTCATCATCAAATTGCCGATCGAGTTGCTCATTCGGTACTTTTATGAAGGATTGTTACATTCGGAGCGAAATCGATTGATGCGGCAAGTGGTGGAGCACTTATGAATAAAACTCCCACGAAGCGAAAGGATCGATATCAACGGTGGTCGCCAACACCCAACAATTCGGTGTTCGTCAAGAACCACCTACAAGGAAAGTCAATGAGGTAGAGGTCAACTCCATTGAACAAAGACTTGATAATCTCACCTCCCCGGTGCGGAAAATGGTTGTAGGGAACCATCAACAAGTCAATGTTTATGGAATTTGTTTAGACATAAATCACCTAACCGATTCGTGTCCTACACTTCAAGAAAGTCCTCAAGAGTACGTTAATGTCGTGGGAGGATTTCAAGGTCGGTCTCAAAGAAGATATGACCCATATGCCCCAATCTATAATCTTGGATGGAGAGACCATCCAAATTTCAGCTATGGAT